TAATTTGGACCAAGAAGAAGATGGACAATTAAACTACAGCTCCCAGTGGGGCTGTTCATTTTGGTCAGCTTCCCCACGTCATGGCTGCCTGCCCTTGTAAACGCTCCTGGATGTGTCTGGGTTCATGCCTTGGGAGGGGGGAGTTGGGTTTGTGGGCGGGAAGGTCTGTCTCTGGAGGGTTGTCTCAGACGATTAGGACAGCCAAGTGAAGAGAGTCCCTGAGAGCCTGGCCCCCTTCACCTCCCTAATATACTCTGAATAAGTTTGTCTATACCGTGCGTTTGTTGTGGTGATGGAGGCGGGTGGGGGTCGTGTCTGGCCATGGTTTAGTAGTGTTTGTCATCTGCCCCCTTGAGGCCTCTATCGGCTTCTTTGTCTGAGTGTCAGACGTGCAATGTCAAACGCACAATGTGCCTGTGCAATCAGGGCGTATTGGGTTAGGACGTGACACTGGAATTCATCTTCTTTTTTTCAGTGTTGACAAAAGTCAACTTACTATTTCTCCCATTAGTTGTTTTTTTTTTCTTAATATACAATTTTATGCTTACTTTATGGACAAAAATCCACAATTCACCCAAATACTGATATAAAACCACTTCATAACAGCTGCCGCGTCAGATTTTTTCCCCCCTCCATTCTTTACTTACATAACGCATTTTTAATGTATTTCTGTAAATGACTTGCAAGACATAGATATAAAGGGACTACGAGGATATTCTCAGAATATTATCAGTTAGAAGCATATTGTTATGAGTAAACAGTTGGCTTTGTTATGAGTCACTGAAGATAAAAAGGGAAAAAAATTGCTATGTTAAAGTGGTGCACGGTTCGGAAAAATCCCTCAAAAAAACATGATGAAACCAAAATTCTTCGCTAATCTATGAATGCTGAAATCAACCAACTCTTTACGGCTTTTTTTTGCCCCTACTAATTTGAACAATAAGGTGTTATGCTTTTTTTTCCCCTTTTCCCCACCACTCTTAATCTTGATTTTATGTGTGGTTTCTTGAAAAGCCAACTGAGAGATGAAGGAGAGCTGATGCAAGCCTAGTTGACGCTGTTGTTTCGGTAACTTTTAGAATTTGCGGTATTCGAAAAAGATAAATTGAAAAGTCTCGATTCATAAAAAAGCAATCTGTGTTATGCCTAAAAGCATTAGCAGAATTTCCTTTGAATCGAGGCTTAACACTCGCTTCATAGCTGTTCATACAAACAGTCCTATTGTTTGGTGGCTACACAAATAATCTGGAGACCAGTTTAGTGGTCTCAAAGGTGTCTCTATGGTTTCACACAGTGCATCTCTGTATGAAATTTGGAAGAAAGATTCATTCATCTCAGCACAATGACTAACATAGAGGGCACTGAGTCCCAGCCAAATATCACAAGTTACATTGAAAACAAACAAAATGGCCTTGCTGTATACTGAGGAGACAAAACGTCCCAATGACTGATAACAGCTCTGCAGGATTTGGGCGCTGTGGGAGAAATGGCCTCTGTGGCTTTGCATTCAAGTCATTTGGCCATTTGGAGCACCAGGAAATGACACGCATTCCTCATTCCCAGTACCAAAATAAACTCAAATCTAGCTTCCTGCTATTTGTACACAATTACTTTTTCAAATTTCATTGATAATGACTTTGTTAGAAAATGTGAAATTGATGCAAAACACTGGTCTTGTGATTAAGAGTTATTATTTCCAGACAGCTTTCTACCATAACATAATGTTCTGCAATATATATAGTTGCATGGTTCAGTAGTAAACTGATATAAATGGTTGTACAAATCTACTGTATCTTAATAGAGTGACAGAAGATGCTCAACATTGAACAAAAGCAATCATGCTGACTGTGGGAAACGTTTTGGTTTTCTAACGTAAAGCCTGCTACTCGGTCTGACTCAACACGGGACCCTGCAATGACTAATCACATGACAACTTAACGTTGCTTCAAATGTGCACGTTGTAAGAGTGTACCTTCCTGCTCTGCAGATGAGTAAATGCATCAGGAGTTTTGATGACACCCAGCAAGCTGTTCTTGATCACTTTAGCCAATGCAAGCTTTACACAAGTGGCAGTTTTAGGCATCTCTTCCGTTTGTGTGCATTTGACAGAAAAAAAAGCTTAAAAATCTGCCTAACCTGATTTTGGAAGCTTGAACATTTTACACTTTATTTGACTGCGCCTTAAGGTGTATTAAACCCATTTTGCAATATGATTTTTTATATCTATAACAGGGTGTAAATAAACACAACAGTGGCAATTAAGGTGTGTGTTTCTGAGCAGTTATGTGTTTGTGTGTAACTGTTATCTAGGGCTCAAACTGACCAATAGGGAGATTTTCTTTGGCGCTCCTCCTGTATCCCCCTGAAGATGAGGGAGAAGAGTTGTGATACCAAAAAGCTGCTATTTATTCTGTGTAATCTGACATACATGTTAGACCTCCAAAATCAGATATCCCTCCAGGCTCTTGAAGTGATGAGAAAATAATGCAATTTATTAGAATAATGCTTACACAAAAACAAATGTAATAACTCCTTTGTTTATTTCCTTCCCTCTAACTTTTTTTCCCATTGGAGGTAGAAGAAGGCAAATCCAGTGTTGATGATCTCTGTGTGGGCAGGAAGCCTTGAAGGTTTGCATCATGTCTGCCACGTTCTACCCGAGGGCATTCCAGCTTTCTTACACGCTGAAATTTGCACACACACAAACGCACGACGCTTGCGCACGCAAGCTACCGTTTTCCCTCACAGCGCAGCAGGAGTCTGTCTTCATCTGTCCTATTGATTAATGAAGCAGGCGCAGCGGGTGTCGGAGAGAGGCAGGAGCCTAGATCAAGGCTGTGAGCTGCATCACTGGCATAGTCACGCCACACAAGTGCACGCGCACAGGCGCTCGTACGCACACATTAGCGCGCACTTTCGCTGTCTCTGTCATGTTCTCTCTGTGTCTGTCACAGCAGACACCGTAGACACAGGCGGCCGTGACACACATGCATACTGAGAGACATGACACACTTGTCATTATAGCTCACAGATACGCCACACACAAATTCGCTCACACACACTCGCTCAATGAATTAACGTGGCTTGGCTGTGCCGGTCGCCTAAGCTGGAAAGGCGTTTTCTATAAACATAATGTTTGTAGATTAGTTGGGGTTAATGATCCACAGCCTGTGTGTGTGTGTGCGCACATGTGGGTTTTTGGCTAAGTGTAAAAGGTACTGCTCTACTGTGCTGTCTCCCTCACTTCCAAATGAGACATCCCCCAGGCACCATTACAAGAGCAGTATTTATGCTATTAGGAAACTGGGTTTGCAGCTCCAGCAGTGGTACCAGAATGAAACGGCTAAAATTATGTCTCAACTAACCTCACTGGGCAGGGCCACTATTTTCTTTGCATAAATGAGAAATTGCGCATTGTGTACTTAGAGGCTATTTTTAAAAATGCCCTGTTGGAATATCATGCGCATTATTTCTTAGCTGCATAAATGCAAAAGCCAAGGAACAGAGCCGTTTTTCTTCTTACCCGCAAGCATTGGTTCATTCAGAGTAGAAATAAAGATCACAACTTCTCTTTTCTATTTTTACTTTGTGTTTTAAAATTAGCCTCACTGTTCAAACCAGAAATAGACCTTTTGTAAAGGCTTTCTGTAAATTGGGATTGGTGGATTCACTGAGGGTGTGGTCCCTTCCAGCCAACCTTCCTTTTTTCTCACAAATGGTCTCTTCTGCAATGCCGAATGGACAGATGAATAAGAGCAAATGACTGTCAGGCCCCTACAAATTTTTTTATTTACGTCCCCCCCCCCCCCTTCCCAAACCTGCGCTTATCCGCCTTCGCTCCCTCCCCTTTCTCTTCCCTGGCGTTCCTGTTGAGGCATGCCTCCATCCCGGCCAACCAGCATCATTCAGGTCAGGGTGAGGGGGCAAAAAGAGACGAGGGGAGGAGGACAAACAAAGGAGCACTGTTACTGCCATACTAGAGAGCCGACACCAGACTGGAGGGGTGTGGTTGGAGGGGTACAGACGGAGAGAGAGAGAGTGTGACTGAGGAGGTTTATCATTAAGAAAAGAGATTAAAATGAATGGGAGGGGAGCAGGGGTGTCTGCTCTGTTCACAGTAATAAAGAGGACAAGCAGTGCCAGTCTTTTTTTTTCTACACACACATTTGGCACAACCTTAGCTGTGTGTGTTTGTGTGTGAGTGAGTGAGAGACAGTGTGATAGGGGAGGGATGGGGGTGCATTGTTTTCTGGCTATTGTACAATATTTGCTTAACCCTCATGTTTTATCTGTGCAGCTGCATGCTACAAATGAGATGCAGAAAAGAGTGTGTGCATGTGCACAATAGTGGCTGTCACAGCTGTTAGCAATTTCATCACACACATGCACGCAAACAGATTTTTTTTTTTTACAATGCTTGTATAAGTAGTACAGCTTAAAAAAATCTAAATGTAACAATTGCAGGTCAAACAAGTCAAGCCGAGGAGAGGAAAGATGAAATAGACAAAGTTAGACAAACTGTTAGTGGCTAAAACGATCGTCATTGTCATCATCATTGCATGGCTCTTCTCTTCCACTGGTTGCCAGTCAGTGTTTCCTGACCCCAACTTGAACCTCATTTCCATTTGCACTGATCTTTCTGCTGAGTTCAGTATATCTCTTTTCTTCTGGGTTTTTCTTTTGTTCGGTTACTCAACACTTTGGAATTCCACATCACAAAACATATCTCGACTTCAAACAGTTGCAGTTTTTAGGTCGTGAACTGAACCGATTTCTAATCACTTATCTTGTTCTTTAAATTCGCTGTATGCCATGAGTAAGAAAATGCTTACAGATAACTCAATTACACGCGAAAGCTGGTACTCCATAAGGCCCGTCTGCTTTGTGGAGAGTTTTATTTATTTATGGGTTTTGGGATTTTTTTTGAGTAGGCTCCATTCCAGTGAAACAGTTTCTTAACTGTTCGTATGCACTTTGTTTTTCTTCTTTTGCTCCGTCAGGTCGGGAAAAGAGCTGGAACGAGAAGAGGGGTGCTCACAGCGTTAGCCATCGATGCAGAGTGAAGGAGCGGGTAGAGGAGCAAAAAAGACAAGTGAAAGAGGTAAGGGAGCTCACTTTACTCTGGAGGGGGGTTATATATTGTCTTGTCTTTGTATCTGTTACCTTTTCATTCAGTTGCCTGAGTCAGCTGTGCACCTGGGGTGAGTTTGATGTTTGCATGTTTTTGTGAGTTGTTTGAATGTGTCTGTTGTATGTATGTATGTGCGTGCATGTGTCCCTGGTGTCAGACCCCAGCCATCATTTGAAGAACACATCATCCTGTCTGAGTCATCAACTGCCTCCCGATCTTCATTCCCGTCTTTATCTTTTTTTCCTCTAATGATCGTTGCTCTCTGCTGATGAGAAACCCACCAGCACATCTGTGTATACTGATATTTATTTTAGGAATGAATCTCTCAGAAAAGTAGAAACTTCCTGAAAATGTTGTTTGTACCTATTAATAGTAAAAAAAAAAAGTATTTTCTTAAAATTCTACAACTATTTAAAAATCAATGTCTATTTGTATGAAGGAACCATTTCGATCCGCACTGAAGAAAGGTTTCGTGGAATTACAAAGCCTCTTGCGCTGCATTTCCATTTCACGCCGTGCAGATTTGACTCTTTCTCTTCAGCGGCCATTAGACTAAACAGTCCTCTTTTCAGGGATGCCACCTTCGCCGTCTTAACTGCGTTTCAGCTGTTCCCGAAGTGAGCAGCCTCTCGGAGAGTAATCTTCTCACCCTCTCTGTGTGAGGCTGAAGGCAGCACTAAATCATTTGCCACCATGCAGTCATGGACAGAATGGCTGCCACCATGCACAGATAGGGGGATGGTTAGAGAGGAGAGGCGCCGAGAGGAAAAAGAAAATGTTGTTTTTCTCAGTTCTTGCCATCCTCTCTTCTGATGAGACTCTCTCTTCTCTTCTACATCAGCCTTCCACCCAGACTTTACAATAGCAATGTGTGAATTGTCTTCCAGTATTTATGTATCTAGTCCATTTTTTTCTTATTATTTTTAGAAAGGGAAGATCCATATTACTTGAGATGTATATGAGGATTTTTACCCGCCACTATTGGTACTATTACATTTACTGTCCTTGATTTCATTTATCTTTTCGGTAATTGGTTGAATTGGAGGGAACTGAACCTGGAAATCTTCTGGAATTGGGGGTTCATGTGTGTACCCTTCCAATAAAAAACTGTTTCTCCACTCATCATATTGCCTTGTCCAGCAAAGGGATCACCATTTTAACATTACCTATCAAAAAGGTTCCTTACAAAAGGCAAAAAATTCAATTCAGAATTCTTCACTTCATTTCACGTCAGCCTGATCCACCTTCTCTCTGATCTCTCTCTTAGTTGCTCTTACCTATTTCTCCTAACTCCTTTTGGTTCTTTCCTTGTTGAATTGTGTCACTTGTGTAGCTCTTCCATTCGAGCTCACACTGCTGCTCTGACCTGATCTATTTTCTACAACCACCACCATTTTAAAGGACAGGATATGATGATGAGGATAATTTTGAAAGCTATTAGTTCGAATAGTTAAGGGGGGTAGAGCGTTGGTTTAAATAAATGGGAAGCTTTCCTCCAAGCGGTCGTCGGAATTCCAACAGTAATCAGTTGTAATTATTGCGCTTCCTTACTTTTTACATGTCTGTCCAAATCACTCCAGCTGGACCAGAACAAAGTGCTTTAAAATGGAAGTGGTTTTGAAGCTGTTTCAAGAAGGAACATTATTCTTCTGATGGATGTGCTACGCATTAACCATCTGGGATTTTGAGGGAAACGCCATTGTTTTAGGTTACTGGTCAAATGATGCAAGGAAGAAAGAGAGGAAAAAGGTGAAGGATGTTTTAAGCAAATATCCAGACATGCCACAACCCCCCCCCCCCCCCCCCCCCCCCCCCCCCCCCCCCCCCCCGCCACAGTGCTCTTTTTTTCTTTCCTACCAAGTGTGTCTGCCCTCTGCTTCTGTGGAATAGGACCTTTCAGGAGCAGCCGAGTCTATCTAAGCTGGCTTTAAAAGCCGCAGGACAAGCACCAGCATGGTTCTCTGTCAGTGTCCATTTGTGTATAAGGAGGTGGGCTGCCACATTGTGTCACAAGGTTTCATATTTCAAATATATGAACGAGAGAATGACGGCCAAATGAGTCACTCCGTCATGTCATATTGATTCAACGCAGGACTCTGGGACAGAGCGAGTAATTGTCAGTTTCACACTCACGCAAAATAATCATCACATGATGGACAATAGTTTGCAGCAGTGCGGGGAGGTGAGGGGCTTGGACACACTGCGTCGGAGGCGACCATGAAAGCCTAACAGACAAGTGTCGAAAATGGGACCATTTTTATCCACACAAAGAACTCCTCAAAACAACTTGCTCTTTTTTTAAAACCATAGACACCCCGTCACCAATAAAACGTAATACGAGGAGAATTCTGAGGATTCGAATGAGAGCCTTTATTGAGTTTTAATGGAGAATGCTGTTTCAAAATGGATGGATGGATGAAAGATTGATTGGGGGGTGATGATCAGGCAGAAATGGATAAAAATTAAAACAAAAGAGGGTGAGAAGATGGAACAAGAAACAAGACAGGAAGAGGTTGCTGGAGAAATGTCAAAGCAAGCATGGAGAGTCCAAAAGTAGACAAGAAGTAAAGAACTGGGGGGGGGGGTGTCCGGGGGCAATGCGGCAGTGCCTCTAATGTCTTTATAAGGTCATAAAATACTCCACTTCCTGGCCTCTCTAATTGTGAAGAATGGGATGGAGGTGGAGGGGAAGTCTCAACTCTACCTGCCTACTAAATGAGTCCCCTAAATCTGCTCTTGGCCTTGGGAGGTTTCTATAGGATTGCTATGCCAGCAACATGGATGCAGAGGGGGATGATTTCTGAGAAAGTCTATGTTCTGATAGTCTTTATTGCTCTTCTCTTTAAGATTAAGATAGAGAAAGACAATGTAGAGAAATGCAAAGGAAGAAAGAGTGAGTAAAGTACTGCAGCCTGTTTTAATGATCTTTGGAGATGCGTTGAAAGGAGGGTTCGAAGAAAAATCCAAACAACTGAGAGTAAGAATGTAATGTACTTACATACAGTTTTTCAGAGAGAGAGAAAAAGAAAAAACCTTGTGAAGTAAGAGTGAGAAAGAACATAGAGGTGGAGAGGCAGAAGATTTTATTAACTCTGCAGGGATAGACTGTAATGGCTATACTCCCCAAAGTAGCTGTAATGCTGAACTCTTAAAAATGTGAGAAGTTGCTCTTACCATCGCTGGAAACGAAAACATTTTCATTTCATAAACTGTTTGTCTAAGGGACCCTGACCCAACCTCTAACCCACAAATGAGCACAGTAATGAACAGAACCTTCACTGCAGAAGAAAAGTTAGTTATTTTACAGTCTAGTGAAAGGTACAAACTAAACTTATCCCCAGATAAGCTCAGTTGTTCTTGAAATTGGGAGCCATTAATATCACTGTTTGTTTTGAAGGGAGATGGCATACATTTGAAAATAGCACCAGCTTTGGAGCATGAATAAGGAAAAGATATATATATTATATATAGCTTTTATTTTGGTAAAAGCTGTATATCTACAATGTACATGTAGATATGTAATATTTAGGGAAGCCAGATGTTGACATATGTGATGTAAATTAGGGTTGAAAGACAAAAGCTATATTCACAGATTGAAATAAAAACAGAATCTTACACAGTCACAAGCTATGTATGTTTTTTTAGTGTAATTTGTATATCACTAACAGCCTGCTATCATGTGTCACTGCTGTGTTACCCACTGCCATTGAAAAGAATTTAAACTCTGCTATATAACAATCCTTCACCATCACCACACATTTGAATCTTGTGGCTTTCCCTTTTCCGTTAATGCAGCCCATATACTTGATATTTGAAATGAATGGTAATTTCAGGCATTGTGAATTTGTTTTTCAAAATGTAAAATTCCAGTCTTAATCTCTGTCTTTTGTGAGTGACTTATGAGTTTCTAAGCCGTGCGCCCAACTTTTTGCTTATTATCACGTGGGTATGGATCGGGGAGGGGGGTTGTATTGTGACTAAACTTGCTACACTACAGGAGCTGTATAACGGTTGCCTTTTTTGTTACTGGGGTTTTATCAGTGGGTGAGAGAATAAAATGGAGTCAAAGGCAACCCCCTAAGCTTTTCATAATGCGTTCCGAGAGGAGACAAAGGCCCGTATTCACTGCTGGGTGTCGATAAGACCTATCATTAGGCTGCCATTGGAGGTATTACTGACACACACAAACACACTTGCACACATATACGGAGTGCAGCAGGGCGCTTACTTCTGCACCCTTTCTCTCTTCTTTTTTTCCCCTTTTTTTTTTCTTAAAAACACACACATAAATATTCCTATGCGTGCCAGAAGTTAAAGAGGCAGCCGGGCTCACGGTGAACCGAATAAAGGCAGACGAGTGGACCCCTGCTGCTTCCCCATTGCAGCTGAATTCACTCACATGGAGGGGACATCCACTCGGCTAGACGTTGCGCAGCTGTAATTTTGTACATCTAGTAGCAAATGCTAAAAAATATTTTTTTTAAAATGTATATATTTTGTAATAAATCTATCTAAGCTTTATATGCTCTAAAAAGAAATATATGCCATTACATTTATAAAAATTGGAGAAAACCAAATTAAATAACAATAATGTGTTATTTTTATTTATAAAGCTTGTTTAAAAAATGACTTACAAAGGGCCAAACCACCTTTAGTCCTCTGATGCAATATTTAATTTTCAAAAAGCACGATCAAAATAACTTGCAGCTTTTTTCACTGATTATTAATGCTCTTCTGCTCTATGTGCAGCCCCCCCC